CCAGGCAGGGCTGCAGGTAAATTGCTTTTTAGAAGTAAAAGCATGTGGAGGTCAGCACAGTGTGCCCAGTTTATAGAATTATTCCTTCAGCCTCATGTTCCCACCACTCATGTCAGACTGTCCCCTATCAAGGGCATATTTGAAGTGGGTTTCTATGGAAACAAGTTGACTTGAATGAAACACAGACCTTAGGATGACTGAACATCATCCAGACTCTAGCCTGCAGCCTTGTTCTGGCAAGCCTCAGTGTTGGGGTTTTGTTTTTTTAGAGGGTCTTTTAGAGTACATAGACATCAAAAAGGGCACTAAGAGAAGGCTGGGGTAGGGCTCAGTGGTAGAGCACTTGCCTATCACTCGTGAGGCACTGGGTTTGATCCTCAGCACCACATGCAAAAATAAATAAAATAATTATGTCCATCTACAACTAAAAATATTTTTTAAAAGGGGGCATAAAAAGAGGCCTTATAATATCTGTGAAAGTCTATTAAAATTGTGATCTATAGATTATAGGATATAGGAACTGGAGGTGTAGCTCAGTGGTAGAGAACTGAGAACCAAAATAACTAAGTAAATGAGTAAATAATCTTTTTTAAAATGAAACTTTATGATATAGCTATTGATTATCCCAGAAGTTTCTGAAATCATGAGCTGCTCCCATATGGATGAAAGTAATTAAAGCAAGTAAGGTTGACACCGGTTTTAAATAGGGAATTTCTGATAAAACTAACAAGGATGTCTTCTGTGACATTAAAAGGATATGCAGTCACAGGGCATGAGTTATAGTCAGGTGATTGAATGGAGTATGCTTATTTTAAGATCTGAAATGAAATATGAATGTGAGAGGAGAATTTCTAGAATTGGCATCATTTCTCCCTTCAGTTTCAGGAGAGGTATTCCAACAGCTCAACCCCCGCTAGCCAGGCTGGTGACAGTTATACTATAGGTTGAGGATTTAGACTGTCTTGGAACTGGAAGGTCTCAGGCCTACCTACACCTTCTTCCCCAGGGCAGACACTGCAGGACAGCCTCACACTGTCCCCACTTGGTTGGCAGAGGCCCAACTGAAGCTCACATCTTGTAGACAAATGAGTTCCCACCCCCAGCTTCTTTAGAGGGCTTACCTTTAGCTGGGAATGGTAATCCCAGTGTCATGGGAGGCTGAGATGGCAGGATCGCAAGTTCAAAGCCAGCCTCAGCCTTGGCGAGGCATTAAACAACTCAGTGAGACCTTATCTCTAAATAAAATATGAAATAGGGCTGGAGCTGGGCTCAGTAGTAGAGTGCTTGCCTAGCATGCATGAGTCACTGGGTTCGATCCTCAGCACCACATAAAAAACAAAATAAAGATATTGTGTCTACCTATAAGTAAAATAAACAAATAAATAAGAGAAATCGGGCTGGGGATGTGACTTCAGTGGTTGAGCACCCCTGAGTTCAATCCCTGATACCCCCCAAAAATAAAAAATAAACTCTTTCCTCCTGTCAGAAGCTGCTACACAGTGCCTGTGACAACGTTCCAGTGAAAGAGTACTAGGATAGTGATGCCTGGTCATTCAAGTCAGAGCATTTGAGAAAATTTTACAGTATGGACTATTCTGTCATAACTGCAAAGAAACACAATTGGTTTTATGTAAATCACACTAGAGGGCCTTGAGAGTTCCCTATAAAATCTTTACTTAGAAATGCCTTCATGGGCTGGGGATATGGCTCAAGCGGTAGCACGCTCGCCTGGCATGCGTGCGGCCCGGGTTCGATCCTCAGCACCACATACAAACAAAGATGTTGTGTCCGCCGAAAACTAAAAAATAAATATTTAAAAAAAAAAAAAAAGAAAGAAATGCCTTCACCTAGCTGGGCACCATGGCGCATGCCTGTAATCCTAGTGGCTCAGGAGGATCATGAGTTCAAAGCCAGCCTTAGCAACTTATCAAGGCACTAAGCAACTCAGTGAAACCCTGTTGTTAAATAAAATACAAAAAAGGGCTGGAGATGTGGCTCACTGGTTAAGTGCCCTTCAGTTCAATCCCCAGTACTAAACCTAAAAAAAAAAAGAAAAAGAAAAATAGAAATGCCTTCATTTTAGATCTTACTATTAATCCAAGAATACAGATAAAAAATAAAATATCTTATTTAAGTCTGACACATTTGACAGAGCCTTTTGGAAGTCCTAATATTCTGTCCAGGTAAGGGTACCAAAAATGGGCACTACTGCTAGAAAGGAAATTGGTATAACCTTTTGGAAAGCAATTTGAAAGTACATCTCAAAAGCCATAAAAATGTTTGTATCTTGACTTCCAGGAGTGATGATCACCTAAAAACAGGCTTACAGAGTCCCTTATTATTCTAACCCAAAGAACTTTACAATAAGAAAAAGGCGTCATTAGCACCAACATAGGAGAGTGCTTTGGGCTGCATTGAATATGGAAACCAATGCACAGTGCTCCAACTCAGTAGAACAGTGTTATGGAAGCAAGTGCGAGATTTACAGACGAACTGATTAATACCTCTTAATTTCAAGGAAAAAAGTTGGAATCTTAGGCCAGAACACAGTTTCTCAAAACCTCAACCACCAGCTGGAAGAAACATATAGCCACATCTTTCTGGGTCTTCTCTCTCACTGGGTTTCTCAGAGTTGGTTTTACTGTCAGGGCAAACCCTTTAGTCTCAGACAGAGTGAAAGCTATGGGGGAAATGGAATAGAGTATAAAATTCTGTATAAAATCTTTTTTTCCTCCAGTGCTAGGGATAGAACTCAAGGGTTCTTTACCACTGAGCTATATCCTCAGCCCTTTTTATTTTATCTTGAGTCAGGGACTTGTTATGATGCTCAGGCTGGCTTTTAACTCCTAGACTGAGCCATCTTTCTACTTTAGCCTCCCAAGTACATGGGACTGTGGGTGTGTACTACCAAATGTGGTTATGTATAATACCTACGTATATAAAATTATGAATTTTTACCAACCAGGCATAGTCACACATGCCTGTAATCCTCGCCACATGGAAGGCTGAAGTAGGAGGATTATAAATTTGAGGCCAGCCTCAGCAACTTAATGAGACCAAGTCTCTAAAATAAAAAGGACTGAAGACATAGCTTAGTGTTAGAATGCTTGCCTACCACATGTGAACTCTTAGGTTCAATCCCTAACACTGCAAAAAACAAAAGAACATGAATAGGTAGTGGAACATTTTTCTCTCAATAATATTTAATTCACCAATTTTAAATTTTAATAAATCCTAATGGCTTTAAAATGAATTATGACCAAATTAAAAACATGACCAAATGATTCTTAAGTTCATCTCTCCAAAGAAACATTAAAGAATAGCCAGAAAGAGTTTCAGGAGTGGAGCAGCACTATTACTTTTCTAAAGAAAAATTATTTTCAATGTCTAATTTTCTGTCCAGTCAAACTGTTTAACCAAGTGTGATGGTAGAAGAGACTTTGTTTTGACCTAGCTACCCCACTCCTTGGTCTATACCCAAAGGACTTAAAATCAACATACTATAGTAACACAGTCATATCAATGTTCATAGCAGCTCAATTCACAGTAACTAAATTGTGGAAGCAACCTAGATGCCCTTCCATAGGTGAATGGATAAAGAAACTGTGGCATATATACACAATGGAATATTACTCCGCATTAAAAGAGAATAAAATCATGGCATTTGCAGGTAAATGGATGGAGTTGGAGAATATCATGGTAAGCGAAGTAAGCCAATCCCAAAAAATAAACAAAGGCCAAATGTTCTCTCTGATAAGTGGATGCTGATCCATGGTTGGGGTGGCATGTGTGGAGGAATTTTGATTGGGCAAAGGGTGGGGATGAGGAGGATGCATGGGGGCAGGAAAGATGGTGGAATGAGATGGACATCATTGCCCTAAGTACATGTATGACTACACATATTGTGCAATGCTACACCGTGTATAACCAGAGAAATGAAAAATTGTGTGTAATTGTGTACAATGAATCAAAATGCATTCTGCTGTCATATATACCTAATTAAAATAAATAAATAAAAAGAATATAGATATTGTCACATGTGATTACATCCAGAAAATGTTTTTCCCCCACATTCTTACCTTAGAAGAAAACCTAAGAATGTACTCTAGTAAGACTGGGGTATAATCCAAAAATTCATACGAGGTTCTAGAGGGCTCTGGGCTAAAGGATTTTGTTGAATGGTATGTTTAAGAGCTTGAGTGTATGAAAAAAGAGAAAATGAGAAGCTATGCAGAGAAGTCACAGTCCATGAGGCAGTACCTCCATGTTAGAATGGAAAATTTGGGCCACAGGAGAATATTGTAAACTTTAAGCTTTCATTAAAATGAGTAAGAAGCCAGATGATAAAAGAGACACGAAGTTCTTCTCCCACTAAGAAAAGTCTAAATAAGCAGAAACTATAGGGAAAAAAACACTTTTGAAGAAAGATCCAAATCTGGAGCAGACTAAAATGAGGTATGATTTGATCAGTGGGTAGAGTAATAAAGAAGAGAATCCTCTTGAAACAAATGTGTTGTTGTTGTTGTTCTGGGGATTGAATCCAGAGGCACTTTACCACTGATTTACATATAAAGTCCTTTTTTTTTTTAATTTTTAATTTTGAAACAGATTCTCCCTAAGTTGCTGAGGGTCTCCCTAAGTTACCAGAGCTGTGCTTGAACTTGAGATCCTCCTGCCTGAGCCTTCTGAGTTAATGGGATTACAGGCATGTGCCACTGCACCCAACTTGAAACCATTTATTGAGTGGCAGAGGATCATGACTTTGGAACTATGGATCTTTGATAGATGACAATAATGTTGTTTTCAATGTAATTATAATAAGTTAATCCTCAAACTGAGACATTGATTGCATATTTAATTAATCTATAGGGGATTGTCAACTGATGTTCTCTTTTAGCAAAAACTACTTTTTTTAAAAAGATGATGATTTTATCCTCTTTGTCTTTCTTTATTTTTTTTTTTTTTATTTTTTTTTTTTCCTCTTTGTCTTTCTAACCTAGAAGAAGAATCTCTTATTGGCATTTGAAGCAGCTGAAAGTGTAGGAATCAAACCCAGCTTGGTAAGTATCCTATTTTGTATCCTTTTTATATTTTATTCTATATATATGAGAAAGAATTTTATGCCATCTACTAGACAGTTTCTTATAAAACACCAAAATCTATTTGCAGATCTGTTACTCATGATCCCTGTACAAATTTATCCAGTTTGTCTGATCACAAATGATTTAGTGTTTTTTCAATTAAGATTTCACTGGATAAATTTCAGTTCTGGAAATACAGTGGGCTAAATTATCATTAAAGCCCACAAATCATCTAGAAATCCCAATAAAATATCATTTTTTAAAATGTCAATACATGGTCGAGGTTGTGGCTCAGCGGCAGAGCGCTTACCTAGCACATGCAAGGCACTGGGTTCGATCCTCAGCGTCACATAAAATAAGTAAAATAAAGGTATCGTGTCCAACTATAGCTAAAAAACTTTTTTAAATAAATAAAGTGTCGATGCATTCAACCAGAGACACAAAAAACTGTGCTCTGTTTGTGTATACAAATTGAACTGCATTCTGCTTTCATATATATCTAATTAGAATAAATAAAATTGTAAAAAAATGTTTAAATGTCAATATATAATCAAGCTTTTGGAAAAAAATAGAAAATAAACAGATGCCTGAAATTTAGAAAATAAAAACCAAACCATAAGGCATGACCTGAGATCATGGCAACCCTAGGGGGCAGAGATGGGGCTGGTGATATAGGGCTTATAATAAGTAGATACTCATAAACCCTAGTGGCTGCAGGCTTTATTTAATCACAGGAACAAGAGATAAGAATCTAAGCTCCCTTAAACAAAGCACTAGTACTGAGATCCCCACATGAAACCAGGGCTCACAGTGTACTCTTCCTCTTAGTGAAAGGATTTTAAAATCTTGAGATTTTAAAAGCTACACCTGCATCATTCAGAAAAGTAATGAAGAAGTTTATCTCCACCTTGGATGTTTTGTGGGAGGGAAAAAAAAAAAAATCTCTTGTAAGGAAAAAAAAGAGCCAGGTAACGTTTAGAGTCCAAATTTGTATCTGTGCTGTGCAAAGCCCTTGGCTTCTACTCTTTGATGCAGAAATCTCTTGGTAATACAATGGCTGCTAGAAATAGGCTCACAAGTCAGAATTCCGAATCATCCAGATCACTCTACCAACTAAGCCAGTCAGTAGGTACAACAAGCAAGAGGATTATCTACCAGAACTGGAGATTGATATTGAAAGACCTGTGCCACATGCAGTGGAGCAAGGCACTAAGCAACTCAGTAAGACCTGACTCTAAATAAAATACAAAATAGGGCTGGGGATGTGGTTTAGTGGTCGAGTGCCCCTGAGTTCAATCCTCGGTACAAAAAAAAAAAAAAAAACACAAAAATAATAATGAAGGACTTTACATTGACTACATTTAAATTTATTAAAAGAGACCCAAAAGGAGGAATAGAAACAATAAGGAAGGACCTTGATAGTATAAAAAAGAGTTTTGGAAAAGTAATCAGGTAAAGCTTCTACAAATGAAAATTTGGAATTAAAAAAACAATGACATGAGTTGCCAAACTGATTAGATACAGCAAAAGAAAGAACTACTGAACTAGAAAATAAATATAAGGAGATTGCTCAGAATATAAAACAATCAAAAATGGAAAATATAATAGGGGGCTTTTATCAGTATACATTCAGCTTCAAGAAATGGAAAACCCAACTAACAGTTGCTTGGAATCACAAAGAATTTTTTTTTATTTTAATGAGAAGTTCAAACGTATTTTCAGGTTTAGTTCACTGCTCAGTGTTTTAATAAAAGACCTGGAATGTCTCTTCACTGCACTCCACAATCTATCTGTTGGCTCTTTGTTCCCATATTTCTCTGTGGTTTAATGTGACTACCAAACTCCAGACATTATTCCCACCTGCAGGGAAGGGAGAAGAGGGAAGGAATAGAGCAGATCCTTCATATCTTTCTCCTTTGATAAGGAAAGCAAAAGGCTTCCTGGAGTCCCTCCAGTTCACTGTCAGTACTGTTACATGACCACCCTGACTGCAAGGGCTTTTAAGAGAGTCAACATATAACATTTTCCAGCCTCTTCAGAGGGAAGCCTACAAGAGAAAGAGAGGTTGGGAATGACTGTTAAGTTAACCAGCTAGTACTGTCTGTCACAGAGTTTAAGAGACCTAGAAGATTGAAGCAGTCTATTTCCATGTCCCATGTCCAGTGGAATTCCTGAAACAGAGGATAAAAATAATGGAATAGCTGGGTGCAATGGTGCATGCCTATAATCCCAGCAGTTTGGGAGGCTAAAGCAGAAGGATCACAAGTTCAAAGCCAGCCTCAGCAACAGCAAGGTGCTAAGCTACTCATTGAGACACTGTCTGTAAATAAAATACAAAATAGCGCTGGTGATGTGGCACAGTGGTTGGGTGCCCCTGAGTTCAACCTCTGGTACCCCCAAAAATAATAATGGAATAGAGACAATATTTGAATATTGAGTACCTGAAAAATTTCCAGAATGATGAAGACAAGAGCCCATGATTCTTAATGAGTCTCAATCAGGATGAATAAAATAAAATATTGTAATGAAACTACAGTAAATGCAAAGACAAGCCTGATCACCTATAAAAAGATCCAGCTAACAAGTAATAAGAAACAAACCGGGCTGGGGATGTGGCTCAAGTGGTAGCGCGCTCGCCTGGCGTGCGTGCGGCCCGGGTTCCATCCTCAGCACCACATGCAAACAAAGATGTTGTGTCCGCCTAAAACTAAAATAAATAAATAAATATTTTTGGGCTGGGGATGTGGCTCAAGCAGTAGCGCGCTCGCCTGGCATGCGTGCGGCCCGGGTTCGATCCTCAGCACCACATACAAACAAAGATGTTGTATCCGCCGAAAACTAGAAAATAAATATTAAAAAAAAATTTAAAAAAAAAAAAAAAGAAACAAACCACTGAAAATTATTAAATTCAAGGGGCTGGGTTGTGGCTCAGTGGTAGGGCACTTACTTACTAGGTTTGGTTCTCAGCACAACATATAAATAAATAAAGGTTCATCAAAACTCAAAAAGTAGGGCTGGAGCTGGGGCTCAGTGGCACAGCACTTGCCTAGCATGTATGAGGCACTGGATTCAATCCTCAGCACCCCAGAAAAATAAACAAATAAAATAAAGGTAGTCTTTCCATCTACAATTACAAAAAAAAATTTTTTTAAAAACAACTTTTTAAAAAAAAAAGTAAAATAATCAAAGTCTAGAATATACAACTCACAGAACAGGATCATGAATCGCCACTAACTGTTTAAGATGTTCAATTTCATTCATGATTCTAAGCTGTAAAAATAGCGGGATACAATTTCATAACCCTTGGAAGACAGGAGGAATCCAAAAAATGAAAAAGCACAAGTACACCTATCATAGAAATCTTAGTAATATGAACAATGTTATACCACAAATTGGAAACAGAAGTTTCCAAAGAAATACCAAAATATTTCTAAAAATACTAAATCCAAATATTTCTCTAGAACCTATTCAAAAATAGAATTTTAACCATTAAAGAAATTGAATGCATACTTTAAAATGTAGTTATAGACACACAAACAAGAGTCTAAGTGAGCCCAAATTCTTTTAAACAAAGGGTTTAAAACAAATATCCCTATTATGTATATTTAAGTCCAGAGAAATTAAAAAGGGAGTAAGGGGCCCTACACATCTAACCATGATGAAGTCAGAGGAATCTGATTTATACTGTGTGGAAATAGTGGGACAACCAACAAGTACAAACAGTTTACATAAGGACCAGAAATGATAAGAACTTGTTAGGAAATTATATTATACAAAGAATATTTTTTTCTTTCTAGTATTATAGTAATATTTGCTTCTTTTTAAATTTGCTATTTTTTCTTAATTTTCATCTAAGGCATTGTAGAAGTTAGTGACCTGGGACATAAATGAGATAATTTTGTTGACCTGATTGTTGGAGCCAACAATTTCATTTGTGTAGACAGTTGCAAGTGGCTGCTGACATGAAAACTAATCCTGAAAGCATTCAGGAATGTTTGTAAGCAATGTAACCAGTTTATACAGCAAAGTAGAAATTTCTTACATTCTTAAATTTGATTTTAAATATCTTATTGGTGATAGAGACTGAGCCCAGGCCCTTGAGCATAGACACCTATCCTACCACCGAGCTACACTCACAGCCTCTACTTTCCAGTATCTTGAAACGGACTGAAAAGCCATGTATTGAGTTATACTCGACACGATTACCACAGTCCCAGCGCAGAAGCCCGACTCTAGGGGTCCCAACAGATTAGATTTAGCCACTCATCCCCCACTCAAAAAAAACAAAACAGGTAGAGGAGTCAGTGGTGAAACAAGAAGAGAACTTCAATTTCAGTGCAGCCACACTGGGAAGACAGATCTTAGGGTTGTCTTTGGGGAATCAGGAGCTACCTTGAGGTTATATAGCTGTGAGAGAACAAAGGCAATCCCAGTTAGGTCATAATCTGGTTGATCATTATCTTGGGCCTGGTCATCCAGAATCTTATTAGTCTCAAGGAAATTGCCACTACTTAGGGAACAGTCTCCATTTAGTTCTCAGAATGTTTATCAGCCCCTGCGATCCTGGAATTTAAAATACACTGAGGTTTCGAAAGAGCAACTCAGAAAAGGAAAGATCCGGGAGAAGCAAAATGGAGTCAGGTTAATAATGAGATGCTCCTTCAACACTTTTAAAACTACACCCAATCAGAAGTGACAATCATAATTAACCCCATCTTTGATTAAGTTCTATTAAGATTATGCAGGAAAAATTTCCATGTATACTTACATATTTAAGTACAGCTAGGTTTCTGGGTATAGCAGATTAACAAGGATAAGATCTTTAAAAAGTGAAGTTCTACAGTGTCTCCCAAATTTTAGACAGCATTCCTCCCCAGCCACTGTGTAATGAGAGAGATTTATCTTGCCACATCACACGGGTGAGCAACTCCTTACAGAAAGCATTGGGTAAGAGAGGATATATGGCATCATTGTCATTA